TTACTATTACAAACACTTTTGTGATTAAATTTCATGTATGTTTTTAAGTTTTTCTATTCAGAGAAGGGGGGAACGTTAGGATGGGTGACAGGTCATCAGAGAGGTGGGCAGGGAGCACAGCCCCTGCTTGGAGAGGACCAGGGGTTCCAGCGCTTTAGGATAGAGAAGAGCTGCCTTAGTTCAGGGTCCCACACGCTTGACTGCATCCCCGAATCCGGAAGGAGTCTTCATTTGAGGAAGATTCACGTCAGTAGGTCCAGGATCGGGCCTGGGTTCTGCATTTCTAACAGGTTCGCAGGTGTTGCTGAGGCTGCAGGACCTCAGACCACCCTGGAAGGCCCCCGGCCCCGGGAGAAAGGGTGAGCACACTGGAGGCCATGGCGACAGGCCTGCTGGTGTTTCCCTCAGAACTTGGTCCAGTGGTTTGTAAAGCTCCACCTTGTTTCTACCTCACAAAGGCCAGCAAGGGGAGGGGTTCTGTCCATCTTGTGCAGGAGCAGAGAAGGGAGATGCCAGGGAGAAGCCGTGCATCCCAGGGGCCATCCTGGTGGTGGCAGCAGGAACCAAGTGAGAAACCTCCAAGGGTCAGCTTCAGGGAAGACAGCTGGACCGGTGGGGATTTCCCCCTCTGGAGAGTGCGTGCATTTTTGTTTAACTTTTCATTCATCCTCTTAGGTTGAGAAGTACAAGGACCAGCTTCAACAATTACCCACTCATGGCCATTTCCTCCAACTGTATGGACTATTCTCAACCGATCTTTTCATTCAGAAATGTTTTACAACACATCTGCAAAATATAAGTCCTCTCTTTAAAAACATACATATTCTGTTTCAATAAGGGAGACAGATCTTTCTGGAAAGCCATGTAGCAACATTTGCTAAGATAATTTGTTACAAAATAAGAATGCTAATAAAAGAATGTGTTAAATAACAGAATTACATTTCATTTCTATCCAATGGAAAATATGCAGCGTCTAAATATTTTTTCAGAAGATGAATATTAAGATATAGAAAACTGCTTGTGATATAAAATGTTAAGTAAAAAAAGGTCAGGTTACAAAACAGTAGAAGCCCCATGACTTTACTTTTATAAAACCTTTACATATATAGCATATATGTTCACAGGAACCGAACTGGAATAAAATATTTCAAAATTTCAAGTGGCTTTCTGGGTAGCTTAAATGTTCTCATTGTGCTTTTCCAAATGTTCCAATTCAACAATGAGCAGGTATGACAATAATAAAAACATTCAAGGAGCCCTAACCAGTTTGGCTCAGTGGATAGAGCATTGGCCTGCGGACTGAAGGGTCCCAGGTTCGATTCCGGTCAAGGGAATGTACCTTGGTTGCAGGCACATCCCCAATAGGGAGTGTGCAGGAGGCAGCTGATCAATGTTTCTCTCTAATTGATGTTTCTAACTCTCTATCCCTCTCCCTTCCTCTCTGTAAAAATCAATAAAATATATTTTTAAAAAAAACTTTGAGAAAAGAAAAATAGTGGTGTTGCTTCACGAAGGGCCTTTTCATTGGCAAGTGATTGCCAGGCTCCCTTAGCCTGTAGTACCTCCCAGATAGCCCATGGTTTCTTCCCTAGGTTTAGGGGCTGTCTGCTTCAGAGCCCCAACCTGGTCCCTTTTCCTGGCTTGACTAGTTGGCTTTGGCTTTGGCTTGCCTGCTGATGGTGTTCCTTTCCCTCCCAGCTGCCCTGGGATAGATCCCTTTGAGCACCCATGGGCCTGGGCCAGCAGCTTTTAGACTTAACTGATGTATTGGGCAATGACTTTCCACAATCTCATTCCTCCCCTGAGTTAACCTGAGACTGCAAAGTCACATACTGCCGACAGGTGGCGCTGCCTTACACAAAAGCACTCTGCCCCAGGGATCTGAAGCCGATTTCAGGGATCATTAAAATAGTGATTGCTGGAGAGGGCATGCCGACTGGCATAGCATTGCTACATAACAGCATGGGGACAAATTTCCACCTACCACTACTGTTACCATCACAAGGGTAGTCATTTCAATACCAAAAATGTAGGAAGACAAAAATCTCAGAGTAAAGACAGTCCTTGAAATGCAATACGTTTCATTTTTCAGAAAAACTCAATTGTGTGGCTCTTATTCTTTTTATTTCACCTCAGGCCTGTGAAAACTTGACCCTAGATGAGTGCTGGCCCTGGTCTAGACTCCAGGAACCCTGGCTCTAGCCAAGGATCCCCCAAGTTCCAATTTCTCTAAAAATTAATTTGCTTCAAATTATGAATACTGTTGTGTTCCCGGTGTGCAGTGGGACACACATGTTTTCCTCCACTCGTGGCTGCAGTGGAGCAGCAAGCCTCTTTTAAGCGGAGTCGTCTTTCTTAAAAACACATCATTTCTCTACTCACTCTCCTTTGCTGTCTCCTTTTGTCTACAAAGTCAGAAAACTTACCATTTCACACTAGTGGCTTCATGGTCCAGGCCTGCCTCACTCGCCAGGATCACATAAAAACCACCTCTCACCCACAACCAAAACATAAAGGAGGGGTGCTAGCCTTGCTAACCGTCAGCACGGAGCCAGTTTGCACCTCCACAGCTTTGCACTTGCAATTCCCTCCACCTGCAATGTTTTCCTGCCCTCCCACTGCCTGGCGAATGCCCATGTCCCCCCATCAAGTCAGCACAGTGTCACCTCCTCCGGAGCCACCTCCTCTGCTCCCACGGCGCCTGGCATATAATGACCTGGGGGCACGCCTATTCTTTCTGTTCAACTCGTAGCCCCCCTTCAGGGCTTGACACAGAGGTGTCCAATGACTCCTTGCTGATTTATTGATCCCCCATGTTGGCAATCCAACCCCAGTCAGCTTTTTCGACATCCTCCCTTGAGATCTTTTCAATAACCCCAGGAAATGCTGGCAAATGCTAGCAAGATGATTTTTTTTTTAAGATTTTAATTTATTTTGTTAATGCTCAACCAAGGGTATTTTTTCTACTGATTTTTAGAGTGGAAGGGAGGGGGAAAGACAGAGAGAGAAACATCAATTGGTTGCCTCCTGCAAGTGCCCTGACCTGGGGCCGGGAATCAAACCTGCCACCAAGGTGCATGCCCTTGACTGGAATCGAACCTGGGACCCGTTAGTCCTGGGGCTGACGCTCTAACCACTGAGCAACCGGCTGGCAGCCCACAGAGTGAGGGGTCTTGGAATCGATTCTGGTCAAGGGCATGTACTTCGGTTGCAGATTCGATACCCAGGTTGGAGCAGGCAACCAATCGATGTGTCTCTCTCACATCGAAGTTTCTCTCTTCCCCCTTCCTTCCACTCACTCTGAAAATCAATGGAGAAAATGTCCTCGAGTGAGGAGTAACAACAACAAAATAATAATAAGGGGAAATGTGAAAGGACAACCCTGTATACAGAGTTGTGGTCAGTGTATAATGTAAGCTGTTGATTGGTAGAGAAAGGCAAGAACACGGAGAAACACAATGTATAATGGTTACCATTTATTAATTACTTACCATGGTCTACACACTAGGCACAATGTTCTCTACCCATATGACCTCATTTAATCCTCATGACCATTCTAAAAAGCAGGAATTAAACTCCTCCAGGTTACAGGCTCAGAAAGGTTAAGTAACTTTCCCAAGATCAAACAGCTGAGAATGGAACCCAGGTCTAATAGCAATGCCCAAGGGTTATTTAATACTAACTTTTCCCTTTTATATCATATATCTGACTACATTTTTAAAATCTCAGTTAAACATAATTTAACTCCTGTCTTGGTGAACAGGGTAGGCAGACCATGTTTGAATCTGAAGGCTCCAGAGCTCCCAAGCTTCAGGGCCCACCACACAGACCAACCTGGGGCCACAGACACACAAAGGAGACCATCCTGAATGGCCTTTGTTTTATTTTTAACAACCCAAGCGTCATCTCACCTTATGATTTACCTCCCTTCTTAAAATTCAGGAAATATGGTAAAGCTCAGAGGACTAAGTGCTTTGATCTAGTCATTTCCTAAAAACCAATGAGAAACAGGTTAATAATCTAACTTTTTTTAATGGTTCAAGGGTACTAATAGGTAACTCACAGGAAATATAAACGGTCTAAGTTTTTTTAAATGTTCCTTCATTCATTTGAGAATTGCAGATTAAAGCTATAGAGACACCATTTTTCATCTGTTGGACTGGCTAAAACCAGAAAGCTCCATAAAAGCTCTCCCGCCCTGGTGGCTGTGACAACTGGAGCCACCCCTTCTACAGAGAGCAATTCAGCGAGAGCCATCATTACTGCACACATTCTCTGACTCAGGAGTCCCATTTCTGGGAACTCATCCTTCAGTTGTAGGTGAAAAATAACCCGCATATGCTATTTATGGCAGCAGTGGTTGCAATTGCAAAGGATTAGAAAAACCAAAATACCCCTTCATCAAAAGAGGCCTGGTTAAATAGATTATGGTATATCCATACACACATGCCACCCCAACCAAGGACAGCGACGCTCCTTCAGTGGCCAGGGAACTCTTCAAAATACTTTAAGTGGGGGAAAAAGAAACACACAAGAAACTGATAATCAGATCAGCTTGGGGGGGGGGCGGGGAAGTGGGCAGCTGGGGTGGGAGACTTCACTGTATACTCTTTAGTACCTTTTGGATTTTGAACCATGTGAAGTATCAGGTGTTCAGAAACACAAAATTACAATATTTATCCACATGGAAGCCTTGCTTGTTACTGAAGTTTCTGGCTTAGCCCCAGCTAATTCAGTTACTGTACTCTCCTGCAGTATATCCTGCCTTACAGCAAACACACGGGGACTGTGAGCCAGTGGCGACATCAGGTGGGGCTCTGCTCCTCTGCCAGTTCAGGAAGGGGAGAAACCCTTAGGTCCACCAGCCCTGCACTTCCTTCCTCCGCCCACAGGTGGCGCTCTGAGGCCTGCTGCGCTGGACAGATGGCGGTGGCCTAGGGAGCACTCTGAGGCCTCAGGCTGCTGACCAAGACGCAAAGACACAGGCAGGCACAAGTAAGTAACATAAAATAGAAACTAGTTTTATTTCTCTGGAAGAAGCAGGTATCCGTAGCTGGGGCAGCCACTTTGGGGACAGCACAGGGGAAGAGCTGGGGCAGAGGAAGCTCTAGTATCCCTCCAGGGAAGCTACCCCTTTGGTCTCCTTCCAACCCTGGGGCCTTAGGCCCTGGTCCCTGCCAGAGAACTACTGGCACCAATGCTCTGCTTCCTGGGCCACTTCAGGCTATTTCCAGGCACAAGATCCTAAGAGCAGCCAAGTCCCAAACACTGTCTATGGTGAGGCCACGAGTTACATCCTGCCGGCACCCCAGAACCCAGGGCTCTCTGGAGAAGGACCCAGCCGCGTGCTGGTCCACCTTTCAGTGTGGCCAACACATCCTCCCCGCCCAAGGTCAAGCCTGGCTTTCCCCTGGCAGGACTCGGGGACACACTCCAGCGGCAGGCCTACCAGGGTGGATGCAACCAGAGGCACGTCAGCCGCAGGCCTGCTGAGGCCACCCCCATGCTAGCCTTCACGGGCAACTTCTTGCACCTTGGCCTGGGGCACTGTGGGCTGAACCGAAGTTGCTGGGATGGTGCTGGGTGAGGGAGGGACAGGCAAGGCGGGGCTCCCAGCCTCCTGCTGCCTTAGCCTCGCTCTGCCAGTGGGTGTCCGCAGGTTCTCCAGGCCTGGGATGGGCATCTTCCACCCTTGTCAGATGGACAGGCTCAAGTGATTCCTTCAGGGCAGACCTTCTGGCTCTCCACAGCTCAGCGCCTAAAGGAGGAAAAACAACCAGAAAACCCTTCCATCAACAGTGGCCAGTGCAAAGAGTACGCCCAGTGGGGGAGTACGCCCAGTGCGGGAGCACGCCCAGTGGGGGAGTTCGCCCAGTGGGGGAGTTCGCCCAGTGGGGGAGCACGCCCAGTGGGGGAGTACGCCCAGTGCGGGAGTACGCCCAGTGGGGGAGTTCGCCCAGTGGGGGAGCACGCCCAGTGGGGGAGTACGCCCAGTGCGGGAGCATGCCCAGTGGGGGAGTATGCCCAGTGGGGGAGCACGCCCAGTGGGGGAGTATGCCCAGTGGGGGAGTACGCCCAGTGCGGGAGCACGCCCAGTGGGGGAGTTCGCCCAGTGGGGGAGTTAGCCCAGTGGGGGAGTTCGCCCAGTGGGGGAGCACGCCCAGTGGGGGAGCACGCCCAGTGGGGGAGTTAGCCCAGTGGGGGAGTTCGCCCAGTGGGGGAGTTCGCCCAGTGGGGGAGTATGCCCAGTGGGGGAGCACGCCCAGTGGGGGAGTATGCCCAGTGGGGGAGCACGCCCAGTGGGGGAGTATGCCCAGTGGGGGAGTTAGCCCAGTGGGGGAGCACGCCCAGTGGGGGAGTTCGCCCAGTGGGGGAGTTCGCCGAGTGGGGGAGCACGCCCAGTGGGGGAGTTCGCCCAGTGGGGGAGTTCGCCCAGTGGGGGAGTACGCCCAGTGCGGGAGGGCCTCTCTCTACCAGGCAAATCGGTTGAAAACTGGTAGTTCTAGGCAATAATTCTGGAACTTATCATCCTGGGATGCCCTTTTTCTTTACTTTAAGGAACTGAAAATAAGAGACCAGCAGGATTGTGTATTAGAGTATCCAAGGTGACAGGCACAGTAAAGCCTAAATTTATTTGGATGCAAATTAGTAAGAATTTACTAATGGTGCTGTGTGTGCCAGACACTTGCTGTGAAGTGTGACAGATGCATCCCTCATTAATTCTTCTACTCGTGTGTGAGGCAGGCAGCGTCATTCAAACACAGATGAGGGCGCTGAGAGATGGGGACACATGTGTAAGCTGACGCTATGTGTGAGCGGGCACTAGGCTCCAATCGGGACTGTCTGCTGCCACAGCCCAACCGCTCTGAACCCCACATCCCACCAGCGCCTCCCGGAATGATGCTGGAATGGACCCATTTTGCCACTTTCTAACTTGATAAAACTTTCATGTATACATTTATATTACGTATCGCTGTATGTTATTTTTATAACTATTATTCTATTATATATACATATATTTACATTTTTTTACAGAAAAGTAATGGACTTTTTTGGTTACACATTCCTTTAAAAAGGCACTTATGCTCAAAATGTTACTTTGAACTATGGGGTGCAGAGGTGAGAAATATGTATTTAAATCATTGGGTCCCAAACTGCTGCCCGCCCCCCGGAGGTGGCTCGGGGTGCTGTGGGGCAGCTGGGGAAACAAGCCCCAGAAACCAGAGAGGCTCCAACGTCCTCTTTTACCCGTCAGTTCATTTGAACCACGTGCTAAAAGTCTAAGTAAAAGCACGTAGGAGAAACAGCTCTCACCCCGAACTCCCTGCGTCCTGGGATTGGGCCCAACTTCCCTCCCCCCGGCTGGGGAGCCCGTGCCTCCTGGCTGTGTGTGGCTGTGGACACCCTCGGGGAACAGGAAGGTGACGGGTACGGGGCTCACTCACTTGTGGTGGGCAGGGCCACAGGAGCCCAGGAGGTGGCAGCCGGCTTGCTCTAGGTTCCAGTCGAACATCTCCAGCACTTTGTGGCACTCGCCTCGCGGCCGCAGACCCAACCCAAAAAGCTGCTCCACCTGAGGGCAGAGGGTGGTGCATGGGACACACGGGGCCAAGGGGAACCAGACCAGGGTGGGGGCAGAGGAGAACCAGAGGGGGCAGGGAGGGGGAGAGAGCAGCAGAGCCAGGCTTCAGGGCCCTGAAAACCAGAGTGGGCAGGAGGTGGTGGTACCTTCAGATACTGGGCAGCCCTTTGCACGTTCCAGCTGTGGCTCTGCAGGGCCGCCTGGCACTCCTCTGTGGTCACCCCATGCACCATGGCCTGCAGCTGGGCATACCCACCCACCAGTCAGCACCAGTTGGGCCCATTCCTCTGGGCCCCTCCGACTCCTGCCCCCCTCACCCAACAGCCAGGCCTGATACTCACCATCTGGATCTTATCTGTTGGCCGTACAGCCTCTGGCCCGTCCCCTGGGCAGCCCCTCTGTGACAGCCAAGCGGTGGCCCTCAGGGCTGGCGGCCGGACCCCTGGATTGCTGTTGTTGGTGGAGAAGTTGGCCTTGGGGTCTGGGGCAGCCTGGGGCATGGGCCGAACAGTGGCAGTGGGGGCGGCAGGGGCTGGAGTGCTGGGTGGGGGCAGCAGGGGCACAGGCAAGGGGGTGGGTTCTTCGGGGCTCTGTGCCTCACGCAGGAAGCGCTGGTAGCGCTCCAGGTAGGGCGGGCGCTCAGGCAGCAGGTAGTAGTGGTATTGCTGACCTTCTTGCCGTCGCGGACGATGGGCAGGATGCAGGGACCAGCCCGGGGACCTGGTGCCTGGATCACTAGGGGTGTGGCGTACTTGTGTTCTGAAGGCAAGCTCTGGTGGAGGGATGGTCTTCCCAGGTGAA